TGTGGTGGTGTGTGGGGGTGTGTGAGTGAAAGGTGTGTGTGTGAAATGAATGTGGGGGTGTGTAAAAGAAAGAGAGTGATGTGTGTGGAGTGGTGAAAGGTGGGGTGAAGGGGGGTTTATGTCGGGGTGTTATTGTCAGATCTTGTTTACTGAAAGAGAATTACTGGCTGATCAGTTAAGTAGGACACTGGCACACCTCTAAGGCATTATTCTCGGCTGCCCATGAGTGAGTCAGGATGGTGTCACTGGTGCGGGACGTAGTAGAGGCGAGGCGAGGAGAGGGGAGGAGAGGCGAGGGGAGGAGAGGAGAGGAGAGGGAAGGAGAGGCGAGGGGAGGAGAGGAGAGGAGAGGGGAGGAGAGGAGAGGCGAGGAGAAAAGAGGCGAGGTACACAACACAGGGAGGCGTGAGAGTTGCTGCACTGGCGGTAAGGTTAGGTTAGGTTTGGTTAGCTCAGCTTTAGGGTGATTAATCTTGAAATAATCTAGGTCAATCTTCATGTGATCCACCGTCAAGAATACGTGTGATAAATTTCAGTTCCATGACAGTTATCGTTCACTAGTGTCCAGGGCAGATGTAGTGTATGACGTCACACAGGTAGCAGGGTCACGGCACAACTGTCTCTTGGTGTCTCGCCGTATACAGTACAGTACAGTCATGAGCTGCATCAACTGACTAACCGCCAGTGTGGGAGTCACGGTGGTGTACGTGAAGAAATACTTGCCACTCCTTCACCCACGCACCCCACCCGCCCACGCATCCCACCCGCCCACGCACCCCACCCACCCACACAGCCCACCCGCCCACACAGCCCACCCGCCCACACACATTCACCACAGGCCAACCACGTCAGGACCCCCCAGCGACCTTGCCCACATAGTTTACTCATGACGCGGGAAAACGGGAGGAGGTGTAACAACGTGTGGTGGTGAGTAATGACCGGCGGGACTACTGGGGTCAGATTGGTGTTTGACTGTAGTGTACAACCTAACCTAACCTGACCACCACACCACCGGGCAGCCCAAGTATTTCTACACCCAGTACCCACGTGTAATATAAACGGCTAAAGCACCTCACAACACACGTTAACACAAGAAAATACTGTTCTTATAAATATACACAAGTCAACGAGAAGAATATGGAGTAGAAGTGAGGATGAGGCAGCGTTCTCTAACCTTGTATTAATGTCCCCTCACTGTCGTCTCTCACTTAACACACACACACACACACACACACACACACACACCAAGGTCCTGACACATAATGGCCACCACAAGTATAATATTAACAACCACAAGAGTGCAATAGATCTCTCAAAACGTGAATCAGTACAGAGTGACTTTCTCAAACCTCACACTGATTCTCTTTATAGATTATTAACTTCAACTTCACATGATAAACCATTTCTCCTTAACCCAAATATAAATAATGTGTTCTGGATGTGACTAGCTCATCACTCTCTCTCTCTCTCTCTCTCTCTCAATGAATTAACACATACGCAATACGTCATGAAGGAGGACCACCTTGGCCGGAAATAAAGACACGATCAGCTCCGTTCACTTCCCCTCCTCACAGGGTCGTCCCACGCTGACTGTCGGCCACAGTTTACAGTCAACTTTACCCTTATACCACTTTTTCTGGCGACTGATTGGAGGTGAAGCGGATATAACAGACTGGTGCAGGAAACAGTTGACTGGCCTTGTCTGTGGGCATACTGACCCCGGATCATCTGAAGTTTACACACCCTAACTCTACCTGGTGGTCTAGGTTAGGTTAGGTTAGGTTACATTAGGTAAGGTTAAGCATTACTGAAGCTAGTTAACACTCGAGCGAAAGACAATAATAACATCTCAAAATGACAACAAAATTACACTGAGACTCTACCTTAACTTTATCTTGTAACAGTTGATAAGTTGGCGTTTATAGTCAGAGTAAACCTTGGCTATAATGTTAGCTCAGTGTGTTGACTTAACCAGATACTGTAACACGCCATCCCTGTTTCTTCCATGACGGGGAACATTGACCTAACCAACCTTTATGAACATTTACCCTGTGTGTGCGTGTGAGGCTCCAGTGTGCACCTCACTCAACACTCAGGATTTAATACAAAGATTGAAATTCTATTCTAGTGACAGTGTTAATGGATACTTTTATTATGGGTTGCATCCTGAAAAAAAAAAACACCCACCGGCAAAATTTTCCCCACACAATCATAACATTAGACACAGCGACGATAATACACTACATTTAACGAGACAAGAGAGAGTTTGTACAGCAAGTCGAATACCCAGAGTTTGTACAGCAAGTCGAATACCCAGAGTTTGTACATCAAGTCGAATACCCAGAGTTTGTACAGCAAGTCGAATACCCAGAGTTTGTACAGCAAGTCGAATACCCAGAGTTTGTACAGCAAGTCGAATACCCAGAGTTTGTGCAGCAAGTCGAATATCCAGAGAGAGTGTGGCAGGCGGTCGACGAGTGTGGCAGGCGGTCGACAGCAGCGGCGCCCCACAAAAACTCGTTGTACAGCTCAGGGAGAGTGACAGTCAACCTTGTGCCTCACCTCTGACTCCTACTTCACCATATCATTAATAACTTGAGACCCAAAAACAATAAAAACATTTTACTGTATAGAATATAGTTGAACTTGAAGGTAGAGGGTGTCCATAAATGATTACCCTAAAAACAGTATGCTCTCATGTTTTAATCAGGGTAATCATTTATGGACACCCTGTATATTTGAGATAGACTAATATATAGATGTTTTCAAGACTGTCTATTGATGAACTTAACTACCTGGAGGCTGTGGGATTAAGTTAGGTGAGACAAGATTGCCATGAAGATAATACGGCCTAACAACCCCCCCGCCAGGAACTGTGAGGTGGGCGACAATACAATGTGTGGGGCGAAGGTCTCACGCTCTCCTGCCCAACCTGCCTTGTGGAGACTGACCTTCTCTGCCTCAACTATTTCCTTTATCCGTATCGAATTCTCTTGCCCTTTATCGGTAGTTACTTTGGGGTGTGGATGTTAGTCAAGAGTCTAACCTAACCTTAACCTAACCTTGATCTAACCTAACCTAACCTAACCCTCCACCAAACTTAATCCCTCCCTTCACCACTCCACACTCCCTCCACCGTGTCTTGCAACACCAGCCTTTTTCAATATATTTCAAGGTATTAATCTCTTAATATTCTTTACAGATATAAAAACAATTCCTAATAAAAATTCCGACACACACTGTTGGTTAGGAAAGCTGTCACTGAGCGGGTAATTGAAGAAGAATGGAATAGATTTTCTCATTTTTTTTAACGTTGTAAAAATATTAAATCAGTGAAGATCAATTTGCTGACTCAGGTGTTACTCAGGTAAGGTAGAGCTGTGGTCAAATTAGTGTAGGGAATGAGAAGCCTTGTTTACCCGCCGCCCCGTCCCTCGTGATGGTATGGGACCTGTCCATTACATTCTCACGGACAACCTGGGACTTTTTTGTTTGTTTTTTATTGTAAGACTCAGCTGTTCGTGCGTGAGTATTGCCTCCAGGGACGGACATGAAGGTGTTGAAGACAGGTGAACGTTGAAACCAAAGTGAGGAGTGTATTGTGTACGAGGGGTGGACCACACACACACACACACACACACACACACACACACACACACACCAATAAACTCTGAGATGTAATAAAAGGTTTGGGTCACTCAACACACGGGAGATCCTCTAGAGTTAGTTAGTCACTTGAACGGGAATGAAGGACGTGTGTGAGCAGCAGTCGCCGCTGCCGCCCGCCGCCTGAGTCATCACCACACCCACGCCCGCCGCCCACAGCCACCTGCACACTCACAACCACCGAACTTGATAAATTAACCTTAATATTGAGCAACAAATCTCTGTTTATACAAGACACCTTACGGCTGGTGACGTGAACTCCCCTTGTTGTCTCTGGTCATCCCCCCCCCCACACACCCCCAGTGCTCAGGGTGGAGGGTCGGCGGCGCCCCAGCACCAGCCCTGCCCTCAGGCGCCACGCCGCTTCACCTTTGCCTTTACCTCACTAAGTCTGTGTTGCCTAAGTGTTATCCTTTATCCTGCCACCACTACCACCACCACTACCACCATCACTACCACCACCACTAATACCACCACTAACACCACTACTACCACCACTACCACCATCACTACCACCACCACTACCACCACTACCACCACCACCACTACCACCACCACTAATACCACCACTACCTGCCACTGTCCCCGCCAGCAGGTCCACCGGTCCACCGTCACCCCAGCGCCAGTGTGTAAAGGAGGGGTATTGGCCTAACATGATATGAGGGTCGTGAATTATTTTCCTACACCCGCTACTGTACCTCATGTGTGTGTGTGTGTGTGTGTGTGTGTGTGTGTGTGTGTGTGTGTGTTTAACATTCTTGTTCTAGGTGAAAATATTAATCTGTACGGTGTATGTGACTCTGTAAATGTCCTCAAAGAATTTGTTAAAAGTGTGTAGCCATTAGTGGTGTTGGTCACCACCATCACCACTACCATCATCATCATCACCATTACCACCATCCTCTCCTAAGATGATGATTACCGTCACTACACCCTTGTCACAATCATTGACCGCTCCTCCCTCCCTCCAACCTCACCTCTGTAACTCGTGGGAAGCGCTGGAGTATTATCATCAGGCTCCCTCATGACAACACCTGCCTTGATTCTCTGCCTTCAGCGCCTCCTTCCTCCTCCTAGTACTCTCCCTTAACTCTCCTCCCTAAATCCGACATAGCTCCTCCCTAACCCCGACATAGCTCCTCCCTAACCCCAACATAGCTCCTCCCTAACCCCGATATAGCTCCTGTCCCACTAGTTTTTCCCCCCGCTCCTAGCCACCCTCCTCCTCCTCCTCCTCCTCCTCGGGCATTGTTCCACCTTTCCTGTCCTTCCTCCCCCTCCTCCTCCAAGTCAATGGTTCCATCAGTATAACAAGCATTCATTTCTTGCTGCAGGATGCCGCCGCCCGCGCACCTCCAGTTGCCTGTGGGGGAGGGCAGCGACCCGGAGTTCTCTGACGACGAGAACTCCCCCCTCGGTCAAGACATCTACGGCGGGAGGTAAGTCTGACGATGACATTAGTACAGTGTATTAGTCTAGATTCTAGACAAAAAACTGTACTGTAATAGAAGAATACAACAACAACAACAACCAGCAACAACAAAACTCAGCCACTAGTGTTGTAGCTCTGTTGTAGGTCTCATAAACACTGTACTGTATATCAAGAAAATTATTAAAACAAAAAACATTAATAACATCAGGTGGTCGAGGAAAATGTCGTTTAGCGACATGTTTATCTAGTATCACTGTGTACCTCCAGCCTTCATTTGTTTTTCCTGGTACATGTGTCTCCCTCTGTGTTTATTCTGTCATGTGCTAAGTTAAATTAGCTCTCATATTTTGGGCAACAATATCAATAAAAAACCCTTGAGGTCTTCACCTTACGTAATGAGTCATACAGAGGTGAAGGTTTATGTATACTGTATATCGTGACGCCTGGAACACCTTCATTGTGGAGTGAACGAGTCGCCATTTCCCAGGTCCTCTGTTCCGCGTAGTGTTATCAGATAAGACTGCGGTTGATAGTCCATGATAAAGGGTTAATAGAGTATAGATAACAAGATAACATTATCAAGGATCTAATGTTATGACGCAGATCACATTCCTCAACACACCTGCCTGTTAAATAATTTCATGATGACCCAGCAGCGCCACCAGCAGGAGAGGGCGGCTGTGTAACGAGAGTCCTGGATGATATAAGACAAGGTTATAATACCCGATGATTAAAGGCAGAATAACACGAACGAATAAAAAAATATACTCATTGTCTAGCTAACCTAACCTAACCTAACGTGCCAGTCATGATATGTGGAGGTTAATGTCTCGCCTTAACATGTTGGGTGAGACAGAGGTTAGTAAAAGCTGTACTGTCCTGAGCTCTTAAGACGACCCCTTACTCCCGGTGCTCCAACACACACGTCATAAACTGTTGATTGATTGAGGTGTTCACTAGAGAATGATGTTACTTCAGGGAATAATGGCTTCCTTGAGAGTTTTGTCGTGTTTTAGAGGAGGAATATGTCACTATGTGAGACTACTGTACTGTATTATCGTCCCTCAGTTAAGGGTATATAAGACACTGTTTGAGAATACTGGTTATGGCCTTCAATTGCTGTCTGTGGTCACCCAAGCTGAAATATTGTGATCTAATTCTGTCTTTTAATAAAGGTTTATGTCTCAAAGGTGACCTTCACGTTATTGTGAAGCTACACCGCGTTGTCATTTTTATTATAAGAACATAAGAAAATAAGGAGTCTGCAATAGGCCGGTTGGCCTGTGCATGGCAGCTCCCGTCGAGAGTTACTACCACTCTCTATCATCCATGAATCTATCTAGCCTCCTTTATGGTCAACACCTCAACACAGCGAGAGCAGAATGGTCTAAAGAGTCAGTGATTCACTTTAATTGTAACAGAAATTGCAAGACTCAACTAGAGAAAACATTATCATAACTAACGCTCTCAATAACTCGATAATAGCGATAACATTATAACTTCAAGACTACTGTTGATAACCATACATGACAAGCCGTGGACATGTTACCCTCGAGTACTCTAAAGTTAAGAAGAATGGATTCCAATGCAATAAAGAAAGTGAGGAATGTAATTAATATTGTTGTGGTATAATGTAATGTCTTCTGGGCTCTAAGGTTAGTCTTAAACATCATGTGTTATAATGTTCGTCAGTCGTGGCGATCAAAGGGTGGCCGGGGAGAGGGGGGGACCACCTGACGTAACCTGTCACCACTGATAACAACATAAGCCTCGCCCTCTCACTTAAGCTATAAATCACTCAAACTTAACAATCATCAGTCACCAGTACGAAAAGGCTTGCACATGTTACGAAATATCACCATTTTGCAGGATTGAATAGAAATGTTGTTATGAAGAGTGATTGTTAACGACTTTCAGTTCTATGCAAGAAATAATAAAATACATATGATTACCACATATAAACCATTATATCAAGATTTATAATTATCATCCAGTTTTATCAACCTTTAATTTATTTACAACGTTTTTTATTAGACCTTGTGCAGGGCAGCAAGTGTCACAGCAGCAGGACGATAGTCACCCATTAGTATCCGTTTTCCTAAATGAGAAAAAACTACATTGTAAAAAATATATCGTTATGCTTGTTGTAAGACGTTGTCCGCATATGAGAGAAGATATATTTATAGAATGTATAGGAATAAACAACTATTTTATGTTATAGTTTCCATTAGTATTATGGTGAGTTGGTGTTAGTTTGCTCGTGTATTCGTCTCTCTGCTATAACTCGCCTTTGAGGCAATTTAAGTATACTTTTATCTTCTCGCCACTAATCGGCTCGTTAATGTAATTTTCCTATCATGTTTTTTAATATTAACATTGCCAAGCCAAGCCAAGCTAATACGATAAATTCTTACATGAACGTTTTATTAAGATGTTATTCCGTTTTCTTTCATTAGTACTATACCGGTAACTATTATTTTTTCTACCGCGCACTCAGTCATGACCTAAAATGACTCAAATTATGAATTACCGAGGCACATAACGTCATTATGAACAATAAGGAGACTAGCACCAAGAAAGATACGGTACACCACCTTCAGCTTGCACTGACTCCAGACTACCTACCCTCGCTCCTCATTAACCCTTGGGCGACCTTTACTAAATTATATGGACTCAGATCGTGACCAACAACCAGCGATTATACCTCTGTACTCTTAAGTACTCTCTCTCTCTTTCTCTCGGTCTTCCACTCTGTTACGTACTTTCCATACTCGTCCTTCCATTATCTCGTGTATAGGTTCTCCCCACTATCGTTCACTTCACCACATACTGTAGCCTCTTTTGGGTCTACCGCTCCACCATTACCGTCCTCTAGAAAGCGGCCCACACACGGAGACGGCTGCTGAGATACAACTTTCCTCGTGTCTGTAAATGTATTCACGTGTGTCTGAACTAATGTTACTCCCGACAAAGGTTAATTCACGATTGTTTTAATTATCTGAGTTCTAAACGAGTTAAGAACTGAATTTAAATATTGTATATAATTGTAATTAGTACAACAAAAATGAAATAATCTCTTAAATGAAAAATTCAAATTGAAGAGACACGTAAGGGCGGTACAGCCGAGAGAAATCATACAGACGATATAGACAGGTCAGTGAACTAGTAAAGGAACACAAGGAGGTACTTGACGAGAAAGCCACGAAGTAGGAATGTCTGTCACGATGGAGCAGCGACACACATACACACCCAGAGCTCTAACAATAACCTAATACATGTTAGCCTCGCCAACCTGTCGAGATATGCTCAGGTTTACAATGTTTGTGTCACAAGCCTTAGAGTATTCCAATGTTAGAATGTTTGACAGTAAAGTTTAGAGATGTGGGTGAAAGTTGTGGTTGTGTTAGGTGTGGCAGTGACAGATGGTAACATTCAGGCCAGATGTTTGCGAGTCGATAATGACACAGCTAGACCATCATAACACTATTCAGGAAATTAACAAAATGTAGTATAAGAAAGATATTACACTCACAAAAGAAAGGTATTAGAATAAACGTCATTTTGCTCATTTTTATTAAGTACACAGCTGATAGTGAGTGCAAGTCAGGAGGCACTAATGACAGTCTACACCACACAAGTAACACTCATCTACACTGATAACACTATCAACAACTGTCTTAACGAAGATTGTGGGTGTGTGAGCATTTACCAGAGTACCTACACTTTGCTTTCCTCTGGCAGTAAGTCCTATACATGACCTGGATACAATAGGAAACGTAAGGTTATAGATGACCAAAATATATACAGTACGTTTTCATTCGGCCCATAACTCCAGACCTGACAAGATCATCTTATGCCCAGCTGATTTACTCCAGAGCTTGAGATAAGACATAGGCAATAGATAAGTAGCCATAGTAAGCTGAAAGATAAACAAGAACTAACTAAGCCATGGTTGAGTGGATAATGTCCACTTATTACTGTGTTTTACCTGCTTTGAACAATTCGGTTTTCACTGTACAGTATATGTAAACGGATTCAATATGTGTACAATCATTCATAATACTTGATGAGTACGACAAGATAACTCCTTCGGGGAAATACAGTAATACAAATATTAAGAAACGAAACAATAAAACATTACTTACAGAGTGTTGAGAGCTCCGTCCTAGTTATGAAGGTAGTTGTGGGACTGAAAGAACCACAGAGAACATGAACTGTGTCACTGGTGCAGGTGTGTGATATACTTTGGTCATCTTGTTACTCTTTTCTAACTGTGGTAGTCACACTAGCACCTTTTCTGTCAAATTTCCCATTTTCTGATTTTTTTTCCACGAGTTATCAATTCTTCTAGATCAGCCAAACGTACTGCATCATTCCCGCCTGATTGTCTAACGCCAATTTTCGATAATGAGGATATATATAAATACATAACGCGCCACATTAAATTACTAAATAATTTTTTTAAGATAAATTATTGCATTTTTAATAAATTGCGTAAGTGTAATTTTGGGTATTGATGTTTATATTTGTAAATACTGTGCATTGAGCAATTCGTCTACATTTGACGAACCCAGAGACTGGCTTGTGACAGGGTGCGGTCAGAAAAATTATGTATTTTTAGAAAATTTATGCACGAAAATGACGGGAAATTTGCAAATTTTGTAGTAAAAATCACTAATCTCTACTATATGGTGCCCACAGCCGACGGTCCGTGCAAGAGACGAAAGCATGGGATGTGTTCCGCACAGTACCGCCCTCCACCAGCTCACTCTCCGAAGACAGCCAGAAGTTCCTCGAACTCACCATCAAATGTCTCAAGGTCAGTCTCCCATATTAGTTATGTTTGTCTTCTAAAATATTCTTGTTCCGAGTCAGAAAATATGATATAATAACTGTTGCAGATGGGTTACTCTGGTTAAGGTAAGTTCGACCTGCATCTTACAGGAGTGTGTGGGAGGTGGCTTATCCACCCTGGGTTATATATTTCACAGAGGTCAGAAGTTTCACTCACCACAGGGACGCACGTGGCTTTGTTACGTTAATGATAGTAGTGGTGGCGTGTGAAGTGTCACAACTATACTGGATATCCGTAACCGATTGTGAGAAATATGTCAATCCTGGGGCCAGTGTGGGTCACTTGCCAGAGTGGGCCTTCCTACAATGTCATTAATGCTACTGTAGATGTAGTTATCATAAATACTTCGGTACAGTGACACGTAACAAATTATGTTTCAGTATAATTAATTACATGTAGTGCTGCCCAGAGTTTCACGTATATCCATTCCTACGTCCCAGCACTAAGCTTATTAATTTAATATAATCACTAACCCAAATCAAGAAAATATTAGAGTGGCAGTAGTGATAAAATTCACCGAGAGGCAGGGCAGAGTTCGGTGAATTCACATTAACATCTCGCATTATCAGAAACATGTTTTTTGTGATATATTGTTTTGTTATACCTTAAAATTGCCATTTAAGTTAGAGGTTGGCACTGCCAGTTGTATGTGGGTGAGTGCTGACAGTGTTGTATCTCGCCTCCAGGTGTTCACGTACTTGTTGACGTTCGGGATTGTGCTGGCGTCTGGCGTCATCACCAAGGGCCTCGTCCTTCTCATGACCTCGCAGCTCAAGAAGACTAAGAAGCTTCCCATCTGTGCTAAAAGCTCTGTTGGCCTATGTAAGTAACCACTGAATTTACTATTGACTTTATTGTTAGTTAATGTGTAGTCACGGTGAAGGGTTCGCTCCCGTGGTGAAACTGAGTCACGGAATGAGTCTCTGAATTGACTTACCCTGGCTGTCATCTGGTGCGGGTGTGTTGTTTTATTTCATTTGGGGTCGACACTGATTCAGTTTGGGAGGGAGCGGACTTTTGACCCCTACTACTGAGATGATTATATTGTGGTGATATGTTGGTGACGACAAAGCTCAGCGAGAGAGTACACAAGTTATCGCTCATCGGAAGTTCCACCAGTCTGTGGTTCCTTAATAGGAAAATGTGATGTCCTTTAAGACGTACCAAGAATCATGAGGGAAAAGAATGTGAACTCAGTGTGTAATGTGGCTTATTCTCAGCTGTTGACCTGTAAGTGTGAGGTGGAGGAGGAGACGTGTGTGAGCAGTGAGCTACAGGTTCCCACGCTCACCCTCCTCCCGTCACACGCACTGACCTCACACTTGTTGAGAACCACTTGTAAGAAGATTGTGATAGGCAAGTGTGAAGAAATATTGTTTGTTTCCCTCCATGGTATTGTCGTGTCCCGGAAGACAATTGTCTCCAACGAGCTGTCGTCTGAGAGTATTAAAGTTATGCTAAGTTTCCTCGCTTAATGGGGTAAGCATATATCATTATCATGGGAATTTCGTAAATGACGCGACGCACTACGCTACTGAGCAGAGGTGCAGCTGGTGGTACGTGGGGAGGGGGTACACACACCAACACACTGTTTATTTGACACCTTGAACATCATAATAGAGCACACGAAGATAATGTGCACTAATGGTTAATTAGTCCTGAGTGTGTTTAAATGATCCCTTCCCCCTTCCTGCCACTGCCAGTGTGAAGGGAGGGGAAGGTGAGGGAGGCAGGAGAAGGTGTGGCGGGAGAAGAGGATCAGCCACCTGCCCTTAACGGTGTTCTGGCAGATAGATCAGGTACGCGCTGTTGCCCGCGGGAAATATGCCATCTCACATGATACATTAATACGTACTTCATCTTCCTATTGCCACAACGTGTTATATAACCTGTGCCGGAGGAAGGTCGTGGACTCTGGTATACAGTCCATCCTAACAAACTTAATCTAAACCCACCATAAAAAAAATCCACAAAAAATATCTCTCCTCACATAGGTAAATCGTGATCTCGAGACAATGTTAATGTGTGATTATTGGCAAGACGCGCCTCCTTGATCTATGGGAAGGTCCTTGAGTCGCCCTCCTGGCCAACAAGGAATCAGGGAGTGAGTTGAGCCGTAACGCTGCCGAACGATGCTGCTGTTCCGACGAGTGCACACGAGGGCAAGACAAGTGACTGTGGTTACCGGGGACAATAGGCTCTGGGTGTTCTTCAGGATAATGTGGTTCTTTGTCAAGGTTCTTCATGGTTAAGGTTACTGCTCCCTGTCACCGTTCACTGCCATCGTGTCATTAGTTTGAGACGTAGATAGATATACAGACAGACGGTTAGATAGATAGATAGATACTCACTAAAATCATCACATAAGACAGTGCCGGTATACAGTAGACAGTGCCGGTATACAGTAGACAGTGCCGGTATACAGTAAAGATAGACAGTGCCGGTATACAGTAGACAGTGCCGGTATACAGTAGACAGTGCCGGTATACAGTAAACAGTAGACAGTGCCGGTATACAGTAGACAGTGCCAGGTATACAGTATACAGTACAGTGCCGGTATACAGTAGACAGTGCCGGTATACAGTAAACATAGACAGTGCCGGTATACAGTAGACAGTGCCGGTATACAGTAGACAGTGCCGGTATACAGTAGACATAGACAGTGCCGGTATACAGCAGACAGTGCCGGTATACACAGAGAGTGGTAAAGGAGGAGTCGGCTCGAGTCAGGTCGTTGTGTCCTCCAGGAGGGTTAAGTAACAGGCGTCTTTGTTAGGATGCTCACACACACTTACGTTCCTCACACACTCTCCCCATCAGGTAGGTCCTCCTCACCGTTCTTCACACGTTCTCCACCAGCTAAGTCCTCCACTTACCCTCCACTCACCCTCCACCAGTCAGGTCTTACACACACACACCTCTTCTGTGACAAGTTCTCTAGTATTACACATTATTTTTACTCGACTCTAACTCCAATAAACATCACAGTGACAGAGGAAGATGTTAAACAAATGAATGAGTAATGTTTGGGGAGTCGTGAAGCGTTTAATGGCTCTGGTCACACTCCATACACGACCGACCACTCCCACGGAACTACACTCATTCTCATCTTGTTTTGATTTTTATGAGGAGGAGGTGTCAGGCATTATTGAGGATACTATAGTGATGAAGAGAGATGACTTGGTTGTATCGTAGTGATGGTAATGATTATTTACGAGTATTAACACACCAATTCCACCACCCCCCTCCCCCCCACACTGCTCCTACCTAGAATAATATTACAGTATTTTTTTTTTCATCTTATACTTTTTTTACTTTATGATTTAAGTTAATATTTTGTATCATGATTTATTTTTTACAACAATTTATTTTATTGGGGAGAATTTTCTTCATGTGTGTGTGTGTGGGCGGGGACCCTGAGAGACGCCACACTGGTGAACACACAGGTCGGGCGTGGTGGATGTAACCCTCTAACACCATATTGCTACACCACCTCCTCACCTGTAGCCTCACATATGTTATACTATAAAACATAAGGTATTCCCGTGATCAAACCTTCTGTCAATTAAAAGATCCCCAGGTGAGATCAATCAGGAGTGAGGTGGGGCAGTGTGTTTGAGAATAACGGTGGAGAGGCGTGAGATAATCCCCCCTCCCCTCACACTGTCAACACACCTCAGTCACAGTGTTTATCCTGTTACCAAAACGTTGAGTATTTAACGAGAGCAAACAGTATATGTCAGGTTACGTTGGGAAGAAATGGTGCAGTTTTTCCCAACACTGAGTACAGTATATTACCCTCTGTTGTGTTGTTGTAGCGGGGATGTTGTGTCCACTGCTGCTGTTTTAAGAAGGAGTCACTATGTAACTCATCACAGTTCACCATCACCATCTTCACTATTTGTCCTCATCTCTTTCACTATCACGTTTTGTGTGTTCCTACCTTGAAGCATAAACAAAGGAGGTCGGTTTAACCAGAAAGTGGAAGAGTTTAGTGTGTGTTTGACGTGGGTGTGTGAGCTCAGTGTGAGTGTGTGAGTTCAGTGTGAGTGTGTGTTCAGTGTGAGCTCGACGTGAGTGTGTGGAAGAGCGTCTTTACTGCTAGTGTGAGGGAAAAGATTTACGTCTCTTACATCCAAACGTCTCGTGTCTGCTTCTCAAAATGTCACCTTGTCTGCCAGGGAAGGTTTAGTGAAGGAGCTCCACCCACTGTTGTGAAGCAGAGAGCAGGGTCTTAATTTACGGGGTATATAAGGCAGCATCGTGGGGCTTACTGTCTCGGGGCGGAGTTCACAGCAAGTTGAGGTACCCGGCGGCTGTCTGGCGTGTGGGGTGTAGCCAGGCTGTATATATTAATACTGTAGCTTAGTTTAAACAGTCGCTAATTGATGTGTGACTGCTATTCACTCATACTCTGGCGTTGATCACCACTATATGGGTAATGGTAGTGAGGGATGGTAGTAATATGGGCTGAGTTTGGAGAGGTTGAGACAGCACCACCACACACACACACATGTTTACCTTGGGAGTCTGGTCCGGGTAGGCGGGGTGACGTCAACTGGCCCGTTCTCAACCGTATCACATTACGAAACAGTATAAATATTTTGTCTCCATACTTAACAATAACGGATAATTTCCTCTTATATAAATAACTTTACTTCCACTTATCATCCTGGGAAATACTTACATCTTAAAGATATATACACTGAACTTAATGTGTCGTACCTGTAATGATTTGACCACACACACACACACACACACACGCGCGGACAGTACTGACGATCATTGAGAGTCATTAAAATACCATCATACAGTCCACTATATAGCCAAGATGTTTACGACGAAAATTCCTCTTCTGTAAAGGTGTAAACAAACTCACCTAACTGTCTGCCTCAAGATAAAACATTAACGTGGCGGAACATATTATAAACCTGAAAATTATTACCACAAAGATTCTGCCATAACTAAACACCTTCCTTCCCTGTGTGACTTAACTGACTGTCATCACATATACTGTAAGGTGTTTCAGGCGGGTGAATCTTGTACAAAAAAATTCTCTTCCTGAATTTTCATCTGGTGATCAGTGAACTCATAGCAGTATTTAGTTAAGGTAGAGTCTCAAGGTAAAGTCTTGTTATGATAGAGTCTCGTTGTGGTAGAGTCTCGTTAAGGTAGAGTCTCGTTGTGGTAGAGTCTCGTTATGGTAGAGTCTCGTTGTGGTAGAGTCTCGTTATGGGAGAGTCTCGTTAAGGTAGAGTCTCATTAAAGTAGAGTCTCGGGTGGTATTTTCAGGCGCGCGCGCGCGCGCGCGTGTGTGTGTGTGTGTGTGTGTGTGTGTGTGTGTGCGTTGTTACACCTTCACCAATGAGGAATCTGTAGCTAACAATCCAGTCTCAGGCCTCCGTTACCACCCGGCGTCCTTCATCCCTTGCCGGGGGAGGATAGGAGGGGAGTGGGGAGTGGGGTGAGAAGGGAGGGGAGAGGGGGTGAGAAGGGAGTGGGGTGAGAAGGGAGGGGAGAGAGGAGGAGAGGTGAGAGGAGGTGGAGGTAATGGGAAGAGAAAGAAGAGGAGGTAAGAGAAGAGAAGAGAGGTAGAGTTAGGGGTAGAGAGTGTCCTAGGAGACGAAGGCTTTGTCCTACGAATACAACTGAACCACCACAAGATAGGTGTATTGGGGGGGGGGGGATACTGGTACTACGTCGTTCAGAGTGAGGTTAGGTTACAGCAGGTTAGGCTTGGTTACAGTAGGTTAGGTTAGGTACAAAAATTATCTCTTCAAGGAACGTGATATATGAAACACCTTTATGTATTAAGTTTACAA